GTTTTTACCGGGGGGGCGCCCCTTTTTACTCTACCGTATCCGCGGTAAAAACGGTAGAACACGAACATTTTATGTTTTTACCTTTTTTCCTGCGGGGTCGCGAAAGTATACCCCTTAGCAAAGCAACGCTCGCGAACCGGCTTAGATATCAGGACATCGGCAGTTTTCTTGACCGTTTCGACGGTCGAAAGTGGTCATGAAACATGTCACCAAAGATGTCTTCCAAAGATGTCTGGGCGCGCAGTCCCCCCAAGGGCGTCGCCGGTTGGCGAAGCCTGTCAGTATACCGAGTACCAAATCCGCGCCTTGCTGGTCAATTCCCTTTCCGGAGCTCAAACAGCCTTGTTTCGATCTCAACACCTGTCCAGTCACAGCATTCGTGGTAAGGGATCCCTCGTTGCATTGTCACGCAGCGATTGCAGTGCAGGAGTTCCATGTCGTCTTTGTTAAGACCCACTCACAGTGAGTGGAGGGATTTTCGGGCACCCGGACTTCCTGGATGCTCAGCGAAGGATAACATTTTTTGTTGCTGGTCAGCTGGCTTTGGAAACGAGGCGCATTCCCAGCTGTTGTCGCCAAGTACTCACCTTCACCAAGCCAAAAAGCTGTCCCATGGCCTCGCTGAGGTGCAGTGAATAGGGCCAAATAGACCAGTTTCTGGTGTAGTTTGATAGCACCCCCGGGAGTCTTTCGATGTTTTTGGGGTTGAAAAGCAGCCTCGGGGACAAGAAATGTTCACAGATGTTCCATACCCATATCATACTTTTGGATGTATTTGATTACTTGCTGACAACTTCACATGCCAGAACCCTCTCCATGGTCGCCTTTCTACACCGGATTCCGACCGATCGATGGGATAGATGGCATCGTTGCTCAGTACAGAAATGGTTTGTGGACTTTGACAATAAGTCGTGTAGTCGACTGTGTGCAGTAGGGCTTGGCTCCATTGAATATCCTTTATTGCAAACCACATTATGGCATATTGAGCAAAGTCTCTGTTGATATTTCGATGTACTGTTACTGTGGGCGATATTATAGGCTTTACAAGTTCTTGAGTAGAATCAACCAAAACTTGACCAAAAACAAACAAGTCTCTCAACAAATCGGCCCTCAGCATGCCCTTCCGTTCTCGCTTGTTTGTTCCCACCTCCTTCACAATCTTCAATCCCACCAATTTCCTCAACTTTTCCAGTAAGGGGCGCAACCTTGGCTGAACATGGCTGAACAAACTCACCGTTTCAAAGCATTTTGCTTTGATGTCCGAGTGGTGAGTGGTCCCGTTGAAACACCCAAAACGAGGCTCCTGGCCTTAGTAACAATGTTCGCTACTAGGGGCTCAAGGGCATCGCTACGAACGGAGCATTCTTACTACTATAGTCTGAACCCGGCAAGCAACTCTTCAGACTCTTCCATCAGTTGCAAGTTGTCCTCAGATGACGGACAGAAAAAAACGACCGACGAAACCGCCAAAAACCACCGAAGGCTGCGAGTGGTGTCTGGACGTCCGTTTTGGATCTTCTGATTCGAAAGGTTTCAGTTTTTGATGATCCAGAATGGGACCAACAAAGACTCAGAATCCATACACTACATGACTATATATATATATCCTATCTGTCAAGAATTCAACCTGCTGTTAAGTTGCTTGGGGACCGTCGTTCGTTGCTTCGGGGGAATTAGCGCAGAAGAAGTGCTTTTGACCCTTGCGGACCTCTGAAGAATTGGTTGTTCAGAACTAAGAGAGGGTATAAAACACGTCTTGTTTTTTTTTTTTTGCGTTGTTAGTGGCAACATACGAGACCCAAAGGACTATTTCATAGGTTTGTTTGTCTCGTGAGTGGTGAGTGAACGGCCCGTGGTAAAAGCTTTGTAGACGTTGTAAACCTTTGTAAGTTTGTTTGTAATTCAACAACTCTGTCAACTCTTTGCAAAAGTTGCAAACTTTGTACAAATTCTTAAGACTTTGTGAAAGTTTTGTAAACTTTGTATAACTTTGTAAAAATACAAAACTTTGTAAACGTTCTAAAAACTGTGTAAATCGTTGCTCTAACTTTGAAGAATAATTTGAAGAACTCCAAAACTTCGTAAAAGGTTTGTAAACCCTTTTACAAAGTTTGCGAATTTTACATCGTCTTAATAAAGTTTTACCAAGTTCTTACACAGTTTTACAAGTTTAAAGGTTGACAAAGCTTACAAAGTTTAAACATGTTTTACAAAGTCTACAAAGTGTTGACAAAGTTTACAAAGTTTTACACAGATTTTATGAAGTTTGCAAAGTTTTACAACCGTTTACCAAGTTTACAAAGTTTTACAAAGTTTACAATATTTTTACACAGTTTGCAAAGTTTTGAACAATTTCCAAAGTTTACCCAGTTTACAAAGGTTTTACCATTAAAAAATCAATTAAAGACGTATTGAAAGTTTTACAATGTTGCTGCAATGTTGACAAAGTTTTTACAAAGTTTACACAGTTTTGCAAAGTTTTGAAAGTTTACAAAGTTTGTACAAAGTTTATACAATCTTTACACAGATTGCAAATTTTACAATTTTACATGGAGTTTTTTCAAAGTGTACAAACATTTGCAAACTTTACATAGTTTACAAGGCTTTCACAAAAGTTGCAAAGTTTATACAGTTTACAGAGTTTTTGCACAGCATTGAAAGTTTACAACGATTTTAGAAAGCTTTGGAATTTGACAAAGTTCTTGCAAAGTTCGGAATTTTCACAGTTTTTCAATTTTTACGGAGTCTACAAAGTCTCACAAAGTGTTTACAAAGTTTTCAAAGTTTTTACAAAGTTTACAAAGTTGTACAACGTTTTTACAAAGTTTACAACAGCTTTTTCAAGTTTACAAAGTTTTTACAAAGTTTACAAAGTTTTTACAAAGTTTACAAAGTTTTTACACAGTTTACAAGGTTTTTACAAAGTTTACAAAGTTTTTACACAGTTTACAAGGTTTTTACAAAGTTTTTTCAAAGTTTACAAAGTTTTCACAAAGTTTACAAAGTTTTTACAAAGTTTACAAAGTTTTTACAACGTTTGCAAGGTTTTTACAAAGTTTTTACAAAGTTTACAAAAGTTTTCAAGTTTGCAAAGTTTTTACAAAGTTTACAAAGTTTTTACAAAGTTTGCAAATGGCTGGTGAAAAACACTTATGTTTACAACAAATGACATGAAAAACACTTCTTTTCAAGCAAAAAATCGTGCAAAAACACTTCTTTCACAGAACTTTACAAAGTTTTACAAAGTTTTTACAAAGTTTACATACTTTACACAGTTTTTACAAAGTTTACAAAGTTTTTACAAAGTTTACAACGTTCTGACAAAGTTTGCGACATTTGCCTTTTGTTACACAAATTTACAAAGTTTTTACAAAGTTTACAAAGTTTTGACGACGATTACAAAGTTTTGATAGTTTATTTATTTGCAAAGTTTACAAAGTTTCTTTCTACATTTTACAAAGTCTTTACAAAGTTTGTACAGTTTCACAATTTGTACAAAGTTTTGAGGAAATTTACGAAGTGTTCAAAGTTTACAAAGTTTTCACAACGTTCACAAGGTCTTCAAAATGTTTACAATGCTTTGACAAAGTTTACGAAGTTTAAAAACGTTTTACAAAGTTTGCAAAGTGCTACGAAGTTTATAACGGTCTTTTTTTAAATAGAGTTTACGAAGGCCTACAACATCTAAAAGTTGTTTACAAAGTTTACAAAGTGTACAAAGTTTGCAATGTTTACAAACCAAACTTTTTGACAAAGTTCACAAAGTTTTGACAAAGTTTACAAGTGTTTACAAAGTTTTCGCATTTTACAATTTTTTACACAAAGTTTTCGCAGTTTTTTACACAGTTTTACAAAGTGTACAAAGTTTTTACAAAGGTTTACGAAGTTTAAAGTGTTTCAGTGTTTAAAAAGTTTACAATTTTAACAACAGTTTACAAAGTTTTGACAAAGTTTGCAAAATTTGTTCAAAGTTTACAAAGTTTTAGAATTTCACCAAAGTTTCTACAAAGCTTACACAGCTTTTACAAAGTTTACAAAGTAGTTACAAAGTTCTTACAAAGTTTACAACGTTTTGCAAAGTTTTCAAATGATAAAGTTTACAAAGTTTTGACACAGATTGAAAAAAACGAAACTTTGTAGAAAGTTTGTAAGCATCAAAAACGTTTGTAAAAGCTTTGTAAAAACTTTCAAACTCAATAACTTGGTAACAACTTTGTAAAATTCCAAAACTTGTTCAAAGCTTGATAAATGTCCAAAGCTTTGTTCAGATATCTAAAGGTTCAATACTTTGTAAAAACTTCGTTGTTCCAAAGTTTTGTAAAATTCAATGTACTGTAAGTTTCCAAAAACTTTGTGAAATTTGTTATTTCTATCTTTAAACTTTGTAGACTTTGTTAAAACGTTGTAATGCAAAAACTCGGTTAAAAAAATTGTAATTCCAAAACTTTGTCAGATTTTTGTAAAGATCCAAAACTTTGTAAACACTTTGTAGGAAGTTTGTTTGAAGACCTGCGAAAGCTGTTCAAGAAGAGCTGATCTTTGGATTAGTGAGACTGCTTGCATTTTTTTGTTTAAAAAACGGCATTTGGTGCTTGCGCTTTGGGAATTTGTGACTGATGGCTGTAGTGTTTCAGGGTATTGAGGGTGCGAAGAAGGGTCGAATGGTTATTGGTTGTGCAAGTGTTTTAAGACTTGGCCACGGAAACACCAAAACACTTCTTTCATTTTTCCAAATAACATTGGTGCAAAACACTTCTTGCGAGCAAAAACGCTAAACTCAAGCAACTTAACACAACCTGCTTCAAGACAAGTTATTCAATTACCGAAGTGTAGCTTCCAACGGATATATAGGCACACTTAGCAGTTGCAAACCACGTGGATTTACAATTCAGTGCATCTCACCCGTGTTCCACTTTTCCATCGGGTAGCAACCGACCAAATGCCTCTGACAGGTCGCATAGATGGGTGCCGGAGGAGGATTCGGCACCTTCTTCAAAGCCTGCAGGAAAACATCCGTCTAGCAACGAGGCCGATGGTAATGCCGACTTTTGCGCCCCTCACTTAGTAGCGTTCTTGCTCCTGGTAGCGACGCCAGGCTGTCAGGAGCCTTACTCTGGATCAGTTGGGAGCGAACAAATGCCCCCATGAATCTCCGAAAAGCTGATGAACAAGTCTTCACCAGAGAGATAGGGAGCTCCTTGGAGATAGGACATGTATATATAAGCAAACGGCAGAGGCCGTCTCTGCGCGTCCGACATGGACGAAACAAACCTAGGGCTGACGATGTCCACGAACTTGTTCACAGCTAAGCTATATCGACTTATAAACACTGTAGGTCAAGATTCTACGTAGCTGATGTCTTTTTCAATCTGTTTGGTTCCATCATTCTTCTCCATTTCCTGTAGCTCCTCTTGGACCTCTTCTTGGACCTTCGTCTTCAGCGGCCTCAAACGTCCCTTCGCAATTACCGGACGTCGCATGCTGGGAGACTTCCTCCCACAACCTGAGAGCACAGGCGTTTGGGAGCGGTCGGTCGGTGTGTGTGTGTGTGTGTGCGTGTCAGCGCATGTGTGTGTGTGAACACGACAGTACCGGTGACGTTTCGCCTCAAGAGCCGCGTCAAAGGTATTTGCCTTTTCCGCCTTCGAAGTAGAAGACGCCAAAGAAAGAGGGAATCATGTTATAAGATGTTATAAGTCATCCTGACGGAATCTCAAGCATCATCCCGAGCAATTCCAAACACAGCACGTCACACATCAATCCGGCAAGTCCACAAACGACTTGACTCCGGGGCAAGGAAAAACACACACACATGACCCCCTCAGCAGAAAACACATCCGAGAGGGTTATCGCTACAGTAGTAGGTTGGAGGCCATTGCACAGAGTACCAATATGCACTAAGGCTCCCTGATGTTTGTTTTCCTCCTCCAACCGCAGTGAAGGATCGCAGATTCTGGTCAATGGGAACCTGACTATGATTGGTGACCAACCAGTTTCTCACGGCTTGCTTCCTAGGCAAAACCAGGGTCAAACAGTCATCACGAGTGTGACACATGCGAAACTCTTACTTCATGTGCAAAAGTACCATCAAAACATACCCAAACTGCGGAGCCAAGGGCAACAACATACTGTAAACTATGTGGTGGAGCTTGTTCCATTGTTGTCCACTATTGGGCCTCTTCAGTCTTAGGAACTCAGGGGATGGCCGGATAAGTATCGTCCCACAACCCAGGCCCGTCCAAGGCACTGATCATCCAACACCTTGCGGACAACGGGAACACGTGCATCTCCGTGCTCCGTACGCTGCGCGGTGCACGTAGATCCAACGGCGGGCTCAGGGTCGACTCAGGGTGAACTCACTCTGAGAGCGATAAGAATGATTACATGACGACCAGAAACGACCAGGTGCACCTTACATCACGGTACACATGTTCGTGAAGCACACTCACTCACTGACTGACTGACTTACTTACTATACTCCGGGTTTCTGTTGGGGCGCTTGTGTGGGGCATGGGCGGCGTGGGCGGCGTGGGTCTCACGATTTGATTCAGATCTGCTCCAGACTCCCACAAACAAACAGGATCAAACAGGATCATTGCCCATCTGCTCGAGTCAGCCACCCAAACACATGAGATGAGAATACGATCAAACTGGATGGACGCACACAATATACCCTACGTCAAAGACCTCATTGTCCTGAAGTTGGTCATACTACTCCATGAGGTCATGGACCAGGTTTTGCTGATTCATTGGACCTGTAGTACGGTACGATTCAACGGTTCAACAATACGGTTTGCATATCTTTGCATGCTGCTAGAACGATATACAGCATGGCATGCGACCACCCTACTCTTTCTGTTGAATCAGCTGTTGACCACAATCGAATCTGAAGACTGAGCATTCAACATCTCGACTCGACCAGCCTTGAAGGCTGAAGCGGACAATTCATGGAGCTCCTTCAGATCCTGCACATCGACGACATGAGCTGGGCGCTCTTCCGTGTGATCCAAAAATATTTAAACAACATCATCACCTGAATGTACCAAATTGTTGATTGAAGAGGCAATGTCGGAAAATCAGTACATGATCACTTGCAAGGACCTAGAAGTTGATGTTTGGCCTAAGGTCTAGGGTGTCCAAGAGCACTTGCCCTGCAGTGGCAATGCAAGTGTGTCACTCATGTGTCAAGAGGGCCCACAACCTGATTGCCAACAATGGGCACCTGATGGCAGTGAGCTATCCCCGGCCAGGACCAATCCATGGTAGTTTCTGAGCCAACACTTGCAACTTTCACATCTTATGCTACAAAGGACTCTCAGCTCCTTCTCTGTTCATTGTTGCTCAGTGGGTAGCCAAGTCTATACCTATTCCATCCTGTTCCCGGGATTTGATGTTTCGTTCGCCCTGACCAAACGTGGAAGACGTCCTTCTTGGCTTCTCGGCAATCGTTTAGGAGGTTGTCGGAGGCCATACCTTGGGGTGGACATCCAAACCTGGAGGAACCACACTGGGGCTCGGAGGCCTTTCCCCATGTGATTTCAGGATTTCATATTTCAGTCTAGAAATGACTCATGGGGCTAAAATATAATCAATTAATTGGTTGTCGTTTAAACACACAAAGCTTGATGCTCGTCTAGTGTCAACCGTTTATTCCTGGTGAGGCCTATACACCTTTGCTTAAATGAAACATTGCAAATATTTGCAAATATTGGAGACTGCATTTGTTCTCGTTTCCGTCATATGGAAAGAGTTGTTAGTGGTTCAAGTTCAATTCCTACATAACTACATATGTTGACTGCCACGCGCAGGATCAACATGAGGAAGCTCTCCGATAGATTCAGTTAGGCCATGTCCCTCTCCAACTAGCCCGGCAACAGCAGCGCTTACATATATGTACACGGAGATCCACTGAGTACCTGTGACACTGAATCTCTTGCATGCAAACATTTGCAACAGTTTGTAGCAACTGCTCATTGACTTGTCGTCCGCCACACAACAAGGGCCACGTGCTTGTCCATATGGTCATCAGTGGGCCGGCAACATGTCGTGAGAGCAATGAATGTGTTGCCTTGTTAAGCAAGTTCTCTGCAACTTGGTCAAAGCAATCGGGTTACGTTTCAAACGTGTTTCAACAGAAACCGTCCACTAGCCTTGGTGCCTTGGTGCCTTGGCCCCAGTCCTACAGGGAGTGGGTGGAAACAGGTGCAACCCGGCCGAAGATCGAATGCTGGGGTCTCTGGTCAGATGAAGCGACACGACCGAAGCGACGGAAGCGACGCACGGCGTGAGGAGGCAATTCATCAAGGAAGGACTCCCAAACCCTATAGAAAAAGGACTTTAAGGAACCTCATAGCCATGGACTCCATTCCAATAGTGATGGCCTCCATCCTAGCGATGGCCTCCATCCTAATAGCATCTAATAGCGATGGTCTCCAACCTGTCACAAGTTGATTAGGCATCGCCTTCGCCATGCATAAGGAATCCAATACAAGTCTCATGACGCTATCGAATCAGAAAAGTGGCTGGCAGCAACAAGTGCCACATCTTCGCCTGCTTGCATCAGCGGCTTCGCGGTTTCGCTCCAGCTACAGTGTATACAAGGTCTACCAGGACAGAAACGGAGAGATTGGTCATGAGAGCGCTCTCTGGAAGTTGTTGATGATTTCCTGGATCTGCCCTCTTGGTCTCATGAAAAAGAGCAGCTAGCAGCAAGTATCAGAACCACTTGTTTAACAAACTAGGCTGCAAGCAAAAGGACCATCAAAAAAAGGTGAAGAAAACCTTGCAAAGCAATACGATAAACAAAAGAACAACCAAGGAACACAAAAGAAACGGTCAGGTGCCCACCAAAACGCAGATGTTGCAGGTTGAGACGAAAAAACGGGAGCATGCATTTTTTGGATCACGTGTAGATACGATTCGACATAGTATCGTATCGCTTGACTCTTGGATCGAGCATTAGTATCGTATCGCTCACTCTTGGATGGACATTCTGGATCGGTGCTTCTTTCCAGCCTTGCAACACCTTCAAGGAGTTCTTCGCTTGCTCACCTTGGGGAAGGTCAGTTCTTGAATGTGTATATGTCATTCATTGAACAAACATGTCTCAACATGACGTGATGTACTATAATGTACTATATATATATTCCCTGTCTGGCAGGCTTTCTACAGCCAATTCAGATCTAAGATAGTGATTGGAGCTCCCAACACATCAAAATTCACCTAAACTCTACGTACCCTGCAAAATATATTTCAGCCACTTGGTTCAACCTGAGTGATTGGTTCAAGAGATTCAGATTGTCCATGAATTCAAGAAGAAGCCTTGGCTCTGATACTACTTTGCGCACAGCAACGCATCATTTTAAGGCTCCCATTTCTCCCCATTTCTCGACCTGGGGGCGTGGCAAAGATCGTACCAGGTGGCACCATAATCCGTGACTTCTTTCGAGCAGCACTTGGCCTTAAAAGAACGTTCATGGCAGGCTTCGGGGCCCTGAGGCATGGCCGTTAGGGGGTTTTGAGTGCTCGTTCTTTAACATGGGTCATGGAAGGAAGGCCACCAAGTGGAGGCCCATTGAGGGGGGTGTCTTGAAGAATTGAAGCATCCGCATTGACGTCCAACAGTGGTTGAATGTCGGAGGCATAGTCGTTCAAGGTGAGGAGGTTAATTGTCACTTCCATGGTCCAGCCAGGAACTAGGAACATCCAGGAACCACACCTTTCCTGAAGTCAGCTCGACGTCCTGCGCCCACCCCCATCATCGGTTTTTGAGCATCTGGCCCTACAAGTGGCTGACAAAGCATTTAGAGTTTGTGTTGTAGGTTGTCTTTTGGTTTCACCCACGGAAAAATGTCGAAACTGGTTGATCCAACCAGGCCATGGGCCAGAGGGCAGCTAAGTCGAGCCTGGTTTCAAAGTCACGTGCCAGAAAGGCGGGACTTCGGGACATGCAGAATCCAAGGCTTGGATTCTGACATCCAATATCAATCAACTAGTAGCTTCGCTACTAGTAGCGATGCACCTGTTACTAATAGCGATGCCCTTGTAACTTGTCACTAGTAGCTTTTAAGTCTTCTTGTAAATGTCCGTGACAAACTTCGTTGATGACCGACAGCGTGTGCCCACCGACCCTACCAGTGTGCCCACCGACCCTCCACTCAGCAACTCCACTTTTGGAGGACGGGTTGGAGAGGTTCAGGCTGTGAAACGAGCTTGGTGTCTTGAGCCCAATAAACAGAGTTTCTTGTCAGGTGACTTCGGCAGTGGCTGGACCACAATTGTTCCACCCCAAAAATGCCATGGCCCCAGGCTGGTGCAACAAATGCAGTTGTGCTGTGACAAACGTCCAGCAGCAGCAGCAGCAGCAGCAGCAGCAGCAGTAGGAGTAGGAGTAGGAGTAGTAGTAGTAGTAGTAGAAGTAGTAGTAGGGGGATTTGGATGGGTTTGGGGCATCAACGCCAAGCTGCCATCCCAAAGTCCTTCTCCAACTCCTTCTTGTAGCGTGCCGCACCCTTTGATTTGTAAGTTTCCTTGGCGACCTGGCAATGATGCGGTCATGTCCAAACGCGTGGATTTGTCGCGGCGACACCGGTGATTTTCCGTCCGATTTGTGGGCCACGTGGAGGGGTGGAGGACGCATGTACTAGTAGTGCCTCAAGACCCTACAAGAAAATCCATTTATATAGCTTCAAAAGAAAACCAACCTACGTTACCCGTTCCATCCCGTTACCCTGCTTTCAATACGCAGTCAATCATCCGCAATAGGCCCCTGCGCTGCAGCACATCTGCGGTCATCCCATTGTCCACCCCTGCGGCCGTCCTCGTACTGTGCTCTAAACCACTCGATCCTCTCGAGCACCGGCCGCATACCTTTACCTGGACCGATGGCAGACTGGCAGCTGACTGGCAACAGGGCAATGACCAGAAGCAACCGGTATTCCCGGTGTCCGAAAAAATAGGCTCTGGCTGGTCAAACACACCAACAGAATGGTGAACATGTACTGTAATGGTGAACATCGACAGAAAATGCATCAACATACATTCAACCGTATTCAACTATCAACTATCAGCTTAAGCCGGGCTGGCTTTGGACGTCCCCGTTGGATCGTTCCCGGAATAGCCTGCGGAAACGAAAAGCTGAAGAGTCCAATCAAGTATGTCCCTTTCAAAGCAAAAAAGTCGTTGAATGTCAGGGTCAGTTGAATATCACCTAGAATACTCCAGCCAGCATATCAGCACACACCCTTTGGGGATTACTGTACTCAATCTATGCTGGCCATGTTCAGTCTGACTGCGCTTTGTACAAGCACAACAATTAACTATAGTACTAAAAAAACATGTTTCTGTTGCGTTCTCCGAACTTCCCAGGGCCATATAATGATGCCGCCATGCCAAACATGTATATATGATAGGATCAAAACAGCTGGATCGCTGAGCTTGGCCTCCACTCAACACCGCCGATGATGTGATGCGCACGCATTTGGACGCTTTCGAGTTCTGGGACCATGACTGTTGTAGAGGCGTGGCACCACCCGTGCGGCAAAATTCCGGTAGGAGGCCTAACAAACAAGGAGAAATCACCCAAAATGGAAGCTATAGGCAGTCCAGCAGCCTTTCCCAGGAATCACAGGCATACTTCAAGTTTATCCACCATCATTTGCTACCATCGTCCACAATGGCTATCTTTTGAAGGCCCCTCCAAGAGCTTCTGGAGCAAGTCTTCTCAACCTTAGAATTCCAAGGCGGTCGCCAGATTGTACTGCCAGGTTTTGTCATGCACATGCCACAAACCAAAAGCACATGTTGGCTACAAGATGTGGGCCGTTGCAAGCCCACAATGAAAAGATTTGCCGCGAATGCACCTTTTGTCGCACTACCCAACAGAACAAGAGGGTGATGAATTGCAAGTCCATGTGTGCAAATTCGAACCGCGGCGTCTGGATCAAACATCGTTTGATGGCCCGCAATTCGACTTAAAGTGGGTGAGCTGCCAAAAGACCCAAACTGGGTCCTGGCAGAGTTTGACCCATCTGAGAGCTTCGAGAAGGTTTCCCAGCAATCTTTGTGCGGTTTTCCCGGCTGCCCAAAGCTCACTACTCTCTGAACAGGACGCGCTCCCTCTCTATGTAATATATATATATATATTGATTAGTATTGTATAGTAATGTATATAATTATATACAGTATTACAGTCAGTATATAGTCTGCATGTGCATGCAACAGCCATTCTCCTGAAGAAACACACAAACAATTGCATCTACTCTGGTCAAGAAACAACCTTCTCCACAAGAGCTTTGGACACAGAATCATACAAAGTCTACAAAAATCTACGGTATCCTAAGCAATGTCCATTCATCCGAATCATAGCACCTCATAGCACCTCATCCGACCTTGAAGATTTGGTTACTCTGATGATGGGCTCCACGATACCAGATCTGCATAGATCCCCTCTGGATGTTTCCGTCTTGGAGGTCCACATAGAAGGTCCCATTTTCTCGATTCATCCACTCCAGGACAACCCCTTCACCGCGATCCTGCACCTGAAGAATTTGATCATCATCGTCCGGCAAGCATTGATAGAGCTGTAGTGTGCCGTGGTTCACGATAAAGCTATGACCACGGACATCAAGGCACAACTTAGTGTCTTTCATCCGTAGCTTTCCTTTCAGTTCGCAGTGCTGAGCATCTTGGCTCTGATCAAGATACCACGTGACATTTGCGGCTGGAGAGCAATCCATCAATGTTACATGCGAGAAATTTGCAGGCTTCTTGACACCTACACACTTCTGACTGTCTGGAAATCGCAAATGAACACCATGCCGAGACAAAAACTTTTTTGATCTGTCAGGACAATCTTGCACTATCGGCGCTGGACTTCCTGGAATCGCTGGGGTCGGAGCCGCC